GTACCGGTCTTCAGATGTTGTCAAATTTCCTTTTGAAAATCACGAATTTTCGACATTATTCGTACATATTATTCTTCCAATTTTTGAGAGAATTTTGTCAGAAATTTGATCTAATGTGTTTGAAAATTGATATAGGAAAATTATTTATAACTTTCCCCATGAATGAATATTTTTTAGAGTAAATTTAGCAACATTTGAAAGATCATGTGACGTTTTTCCTTAGCTCGGTAGTATTGTGAAAGGTCCCGAGGCCGGAGCCCTGGCGGGTTCCTCATTTCCGGCGAGTGATGAAAGCCCCCGGGGGTGGGACCAACAATTAGGTATTCATCAGCCCCCGTCTTGATGAATACTAGCGTAAGTGATCATTATTTATGATGGCGAAGATGAAAGAGGGTCGGGGTTCGGGGGTCAGAGAGGGGGCGGGCTGAATCGAACGTGTTCAAACAGTATGTGAGCGGAGGAGTCATGAATATTAAAAGAGCTGCGACTAATCTCACCCGCCACCGTTGCCGCTCGGAAAAATAAGGAGTAGTTCGAAATCCGTGAAACGTCATGCTTCATCGCATACAATGGACCGTTAGACTGCCTTCAGTGGCGTAGCGTGAATGATCGATTATCGATATTTCTCCATTTGAAACTATAGTAAAGAATCGATTAGTGAGGTGTTTGCTGCGAACACCTTGATAATCGATCCATTTCCATAGATTTAAATGGCAGATCAATCGATCGCCACTGACTGCCTTGCAAAGAAAAGCAGAGTGCGAGTCGACTCAACATCGCCTCGATTAAATGGTGCCTCATGGACCGGCTACATGTTGAGCCTCGTTTTCCACACATTTGTTTTTCAAAATGTGTTATAATTTGGCAAATATTGTTCTCCAAAACGCGTAAAGTAAGAATAAAACATAAAACGCCGTAGGTAAGATTAAAGCCTTATTTCTCCCCTCCCTGACCTCTGCAAAATATTTGCAAAACACCCATTCTCTATCGAGTCTTTGAGATTGTTTTCGGTGGCCAATTCGGCCTTCATTGATTTTGGTTTTTTTTTTCTCGGGCGAGAAGTTTGAATTGGTCGATTCTAATCGAAAATAAGAATGTCTGTTTTTCTTTTATGAGCTACTTTTGGAAGCTTTTTTAAGACCAGATCCATTTAGCTATCCGAACCGGAGCGTTTTTTAGAGTGGAAACGTTTTCAGGAATGCCTTAAAGCCAAGGCATCTGATTCTCATGCATGCTCTTTCGAGCCTAACACGCCAACTGAGGCAACCTAATGTATGGCACCTAGAACAAAGACGACTAAAAACTGCCCTCTGAAATGAAGTCAACTAAGCATTCACCACTAAGACGCAAACGCAAGGATTTTATGTACTTTATTATTATAGAGTGCATAGATGTCGTAATGTAAATGGGAGAGTTCACGCCTCGCACCAGCGCGCCTTCAATTTTGCAGACGCAACACGGACATCCATCAAGTACGAATAGTTGTATCTCTGCGCCGTCATCAACGCGCGTCTTTTCCACTGCGCAATTTCTACATCGCTTACATTGCTTATTACTTGTACATACATCAGAACCATCAAACAAGTATAAGCATGAAACGATATGACGGCCAAATAAGGTTTTGGTCAGAGAAAAATCTTTTCGGTATATTTATGACTGGATGTGGCAACAGGAGGGTCTGTGCTCAGCGCGCTAATCTCAAGTCAGGTTTTTTCTGAGCTCCACTGCGGATGGCTCTGTTGCTTTTTTATGAATATTCAAGCGGCTCTTAATCGCCCATCGTCCGTTGGCTCGTGTTTAGTCGTCCAGTCATCTACTCCTTCAACCTTTTCACCGCGGAAAAATTGCGAGGCGGAAAATTAGAACCCTTTGATAGCCAAGTTCGGGACGTCGGAAATCCGGACTAGGAAAACTGGAGGGGCGTCCTTGTCCTGGAAAATTAAAAAAAAACAGCCGGGCCAGTAGCCAGATTCTAAATTAAGGCGCTACACAGTTTTCTCGATTCCGCGAGGCGTGAATCATCGATTTTCGATATTTTCCCATTTGAAGCTAGGGTAAAGAATCGATTATTAGGGTGTTTGTTGCGAATACCCTGTCTATCGATCCCTTTCCGTAGGTTTAAATGATAGATCAATCGATATATCGCAAAGCACGCTACGCCACGGATAGCGTTGTGCATAAGAAGGCCACGCTGATGAGAAGGAGCCCTGGTAGATCTAACAGTGGTGGTATTTGCCGACGCCCTCATACAGATATACGAGGTATGAATTCAGCGAGATTGGGCTACCATTTTGACTTGCTGATCGTTCTAACCATGGCTAGCTTTTGAAAACTTGTTCCCGACGGAATAAAAACCAGTGTCACCGTAGATTATGATAGACCACAATTAAAGAGAAATTTATACAATTTTAAATTCTCAAGTTTCTTTATTTGTAGACGTTTGAAAAAAGAATGAAAGCATGATCCTATAAGTGCTTTTTCATACAGTTTTTGTTTTATTTATTAGTTGGTTGTTTTGTATGGTTTTTAAGGTTTCTTATAAGTTTTTTCTTTTTAGGGATAAGCGGGTTTTTTTCGCGGTCCCTACGAATTTCATATAAAAAAATAACTTTATAATAACTTTGAGAAGCTACAAGTAATCGTACCTGAGAGATGTCTTTAATGCATAAGTAAAGAATTAAAGGCGTTCGGTCATTTTGAATCCTCGCAGGACAGCCCACGCCGTGCAAAAAGTGGTGGATGCTTGGAGAGTCAAAATTCCTTCACTTCCGGGCGTATGCAACACGGACATCCGTGGAGCTCGAGAAGTTGCATCCAGACATTCAATGAAATTCATCTAGTTGAACATGTTAGCCATCAAAATCGTTTGATAGCTGTTTGATGTGTAAAACTCTACGTGGAATTCCGTTTCATACAAGGAGTTCGGACGACGTAACTGAAAATTAGTACGTATGCTGTCACAAGACTCGTGACTAGCAACGGTTTCAGCCTCCCTGACTCCAAACGCTTCCGAGATCGGGAGCGTTGAGCTGTTCGCTAACGGCAGGGTACGTTCAATTCAGAATCTCTCTGCACCGAGCAATCACTTGCTGAAATCAAATACGTAGAAATCCGCGTTGTGTATAACATCTACACTCTGATGAAAAGAGGGATCGCAGATTGTTCGGTTCTGTAACAAAGTAATGAAACGAGGCTATGATCTTCCGGGAACAGCTCAACAAAACTGAGGTAGCGGGAAGTTTCCAAAATGCGTCGCCCCTCTGACGTAAGGGCGTATCTCAATTTTCACGTGGGCCTTGTTTCACATATGATTCCATGCTTTCTGGGGCTCATGCGGAAATCCAGATATGCTCTTACGTCAGAGGAGCGACGAATAGAGCCCTGGCGTCGGATGCGCTCTCCAATGCTCCAGTTGCAAACTTGCCATTTCATTGAATTTTTGAAAATTTTATCGCATGTGTAGTGTTGAAAAATACTTTATATTGAAGGTGAAACTATAAAATTGCATATCTCGGTTTGCGACGTCGTATACTTCCTGCCATACTTTATTTTTTAGATGGGTAACTGCTCGACTTCACTTCTTGGAAATTTCCGTGATTTGCTCCTCTGTGTGAGGAAATATCTGTAAAAACTTCAAGGAATAATACTGGTTTGTTTTCTTTTACAACAATAAAATGGAAAAATGGAATCTGAGATTTTTAAACACCACAAACGAGATACGTGGTCCGGTAGTTTCACCATCAATAGAGTGCTAGAGAACTGACGGTGTTTTTGATGGAAAAGTTATTTAAATCGTGCTTGTGATTCTCTGCTTTTGTTAAATCTAATTGTATTGAATTTTTATTAAGATACTCTTTTTCTTATAGTTAATTATTCGATGGAAAAAACTGATGGAAACTACTAAAACTTAAGGTGATTCGATGGACGCCATATTTTGTGTCAGAACGGCATGCTATAAATCGCATCAATTGGTTCCATTTTTTTAGCTACTCGTCATTTTTCTCCAATTTTGAGATCGAAATTCTGTTGTCAGGAGACTAAAACACTCACTTACCGATTTGAACAAAGAAATTCAACGTAATAAAGGCGTGGTTTTTTTAGAGAGAAAATATCGCATTCGAGTGCAGTTTCGATATGTTTTCTCTCTGAAAAAACCACGCCTTTATTACGTTGAATTTCTTTGCTAAAATTGGTAAGTGAGTGCTTTAGTCTCCTGACAACAGAATTGCGATCTCAAAGTTGGAGAAAAATGACGAGTAGCTGAAAAAATGGAACCAACTGATGCGATAGATCGCGTACCGTTCTGACACGAAATATGACGTCCATCGAATCACCTTAAGAAATATTTCGATAGACTAAAATAGATTAACGTATTTTTGTTTCTCGTAAGCAACCGGCCCATCATAGAGTATATGAAAATGCCGTCCGCGATACAGATTCAGCGGCCGGTGCATTGAGGATTCCGAAATCCGAAACTTACGGTCTCTGACCCGGAAGCTCGGCCATTGAACCCTCGATGCGGATGACATGTATGTATAGCTCGTAATTACTACTCCCTGACCTGGAACCCTTTCTCAGTGTGGAAAACTGCCACTAACTCCTCCGAACCAACTTTCCGCATAAAAGATGGAGGAAATTAAGTGATTTTTGATATAATAAAATGCTAATGCAAGAGCGCGGCTTGAATAAACGAAGCCATCCATATCGGTGTGAGGTAAAAAAAAGGGGCCGGACCACCCACCTCGAGATGCTGAGGAGACATTATGCACGAGGGGATTCTGCATATACAATATAATGCATAACGAGGTGCGTTCACGTTGGCAAAGGGTGAGGCGAGGCGGGTGCACTTTTCAAACAAGCTTTCAGCTTAGTTAGTTTATTTGATCGTACTTTGCCGAGCAGCTTCACTCGTAGTTGATGACCAGGCTTTTCCTCCGTCCTCTATACAGTACAGAATGATTTTCTGCGGTGAAGAATTTGCCACATCATATTAAACTTACCTCAAACTTTTCCGATTTTGTATTTAGAGCTCCTCAAGTGCGCTTTATTTATGGTCTCTGCAACAAAGAGAGAAAACAAATCATGAATTAATTTAGCAATTGAAAACAATATAATACACAAATAAAATTGGCGAATTTCCCTGAACTCTACTGTTTCATTTTTCTCTTATTTATGCACCCTTTTCCTCCTCTTGACTTCTTAAATTTTTTTATGTTCCATCTTACTTCAGGTGCCTCAAAGCCAATAGTTTTTTCTGGAGCCGAATGAGTTTTATAAGCTATGTACTACTACTATATTTTTCTTATCAAAAAAACTTTGTAGTTTGCAAATATTGTGAAATTATTTCAATTTAGATTTCATGGCTCTAACAAGAAATTTTAATATTTTGAAAATGTCGCAAAGTGTCTGTCCACTATTGATCCTAAATGCTTTTAGTCAGAAGCAATCTCCTCACTGATTCCTGAGCAAAGATATCTTGTAAAGATGTAGACATAGTGCAGTTTTATTTGAATGATGTGCACATACGGTGTGTTGGGCTAAATTTCATCCTGAAGTAATCACCTCACTAATTCCTGGGCAAATAGACAGTATAAAGATATAGACATAGTGCAATTTTATTTGAATGATGTGCACATATGGCGCGTTGAGCTAAATTTTATCATGCGCCTCTGAGGAGGTGAGCGATGTGGGGGTCCTAGACTGCAGTCGAAGAGCGAAGGAGAACAATATTTCTCCGGCGGTCATTAAAGGGTCGAAAATGGGTTTCTCGGCGAATCGCGGGCGAGAAGAGTCGTGAAAAATAAGTTTTATAGGATCAATAATAATCTGGCCCCCCGGCCCCCGTGCGAGGGGTGGTATAACAAGGACATAAAGAAAGGAAACCGTTTGATGCAATAACCCTAAAAGAAATGTGCATGCATTATGAGCTCGGAAAAATAAGCACATTTGGCCGCTTCCCCCTGTGTCGCCGCGCCGCTGTCGTCTGCTCCCGAGGCAGGAAACCTCGGACGAGTCCCACTTATGATAATGAAGGATTGTTTGTTATGTTCACGAACCATGAAAAATATGCAGTGAAACTCTGGACCAGGAAAATAGGTCAACAGGATAGACAAAAGAACTTTTCGCGCGCCAAACCGCAAACTCCTCTCGCGAAAGTTATACCGGAAGTTCATTCCGGGATTTAATTTCGACCTCCTCGACGAAAACATGCTTGAAAAAAGAGGAAGTTAGATTCAGTATTTATTCAGTATTTTTCAGTATATACGTATAAATAAATATTTAATTTAACTTTCGAACGAGTAATAATAGAATACATTCTTAAATTAACCTCCTACCGAGAAATAATAAGCGAGGAATGAAGCAAAAATAAAAGACGTATTCTGGCGTGATATGCGAAAACGCCACATGAGCATTTAAATGTTGCCAAATGTTTATGATGAAACACGAGTTTTCTGAATAACCGGTGACATTTTTTCATTGGATTCTTAAATCATTTTATCCGCAATTCAATTCCAAATATTTTTAATTTTAAAAGAAAATATTTCTGATTTTTCTTGAATTTAAAAGTTTCATCGGGAAGACTTCAATGACACTCAAATGTTCATTCGATGTTTTTCCATAGCACGTTAGAATTCTGTGTCATTTATCGTTGCCGCCCACAGAACAATTACGGGAAAAATACGACACCACTGTCAAGCTCAGATGCCAACTTCAATGGTAATTTAAGCAGGTTGAATTCTGCACCGTCCTTGATCTGATTTTGGTCGCCATAAATTTCAAGATTGCGGATACGATTAAAATATTCTGATTTTTACTGCGGGCTAACTGTTTTATTGCTTGCTTATTTCTGGCGGAGATGTGCTTTTTTTGAATCGCACAACTTTCTTTCCTTGAGGTTGAGGGGACCTCTTTATGGGCTCATTTTTTCTCAGTGATTTTAGTCGAAATCTTGGGCCAGATCCAGCAAACTTGATTCTCGGCGTCTGCTGGCTATTTCATTTTTTTTTCTATATTTCCTTCATTTTTATTTTATTTTATTTTATCATTCAAGCGTAACAAAAAATCGTTCCACTCACCAAAATAATTGACTTATAAAATTATTCCAATGTATAAACTAAACCCCACAACTATATGGGTATATTTCATCGAGTTTTTGGATATTTCTCCTAAACCTGGAAAACACAGTTGCAGAGCCCGTTAGCCTTACAAGGTGCCGTTTTAATATGGAAATTACTAATACTTAGAAAACCCGAAAAAAATCCTCAACGAATTCTTGAAAAAACTTTGCTCTGATGAAAGACTTGTTGGAAAATTGGTTTAGCATAAACGTCTCAGTGTAGCGCATCCCTTGTTGCAAACGGCTTAACAGCGGCATTCATCAGTCATCCTCCTCGAAGACAGAAGCCCAACAAGTTGCTAATTTATCATATTTAAGTGAAAAATAGTGTGCCTCCGAGTTAGTTTGCTTTGCCTGTTTCCAACGCTTCTATTACCGATTTAAAAGCTTTAAATACTTTTCTGGGGCGATTCGGATGAAGTCCTTTCAATTTTCGATTGAATTCTTGACCAATCTGAATGGACCAGTTGTCGTTGCAGTCAGAGAATCGTGTTCTGGTGGTTCAAGCTTTATGATCGGCACAAAAGCATAAGATTTGTCCAAACGCCAAGTTTTTAGATCCAATATTAACGGATATATATATAAAGTCGCTTTATAACGCACTCTGGCGTTCTACGACACCCAAACGCCACATAATGCCTGTCTTCCCAGAGGTTATCGGGCAAGTGACACCGCAACATCTCTTCGTCAACGCCCTGCCGCCAACCCTTGACGGGACGTCCCCGTCGCCTCTTCCCAGGTGGTACCCAATCCAAAACTTGTTTGGGCAACCTCTCCTCCGACATTCTTTGCACATGTCCATACCAGCATAACTGCCTGGACATGACGTCGTGCACGATATCTTTCTCAACCTTCATCACCTGGCGAATTCTCTCATTACGGACACGGTCCCGTCTCGAAATGCCGGCAGATCGCCGCCAAAAATCCATTTCACGGAAATATATCGCCCCTCAAAAAACATGGCTTATGACTTATCCTTTACTGCACAGGCATACCGCTGGCATCTCGACATATCGAGCAATCTGCCATTTAAACCCATGGAAAAGGATCGTGAACAGAAAGTTCGCAACGAACACCTTAATAATCGATTCTTTACCATAGTTTCAAATGGGAAAATATCGACAATCGATCATTTACCGTGGCCGTGCATACTGTGGTTTGTTCCGCCTTGATTTTGTCAATCTGTGATGCAATTATTTGCACTGGTTGCTCGACGTAAAACACGAATGAAACCGAGGAGACAGTAACCATGGCATGCACTACCGCGGTGGATGACGTCATACGCCGTGAATTTTGAAGGGCGGTATCTCCGCGGATATTGAACGTAGAAACTTGGTATTTGGACAACTCTATTACTTTTTGATGTTCTATTATCCGATATTATCAAAACACGTTTCTGTGACTAACGTAACTGACCCATTGATTCAAATACGACCAAACACGCTATCCGGTGAATTTTCGAACACCTGCCCCGGGAAAGGCGACAACGGGGATGGGGACTGACAGGGGTGAGGGTTCCTGGGGCCCGCGTCCCCGCGTGTCTCCGAAGTTCCGCTCGAAACAAACTGTTGAAAATTGACTTATAAACTGAACGATGTTCGCATTTGTTGGTGATCACAGACAATCAATCTCCAGACCTCCTCGTCTCCTCGCTTCCAACAAAGCTGAAAGTCTCCCCGTCGAGTGTGGTGGGTGAATGGAGGTAATTTATGTCTGCATCTTACTTTGACGTCCTCTGGATTATCAATTTTCCAAACATCAAATGCAAGTTGCTCGGAGACTCCGTGAGAAATCTATCCCTTTCACCGACCGGAAGACCTCGTGATCTTCAGCTCTCATATCCACTCGGAAGAAGGACCTAATACAATTTATTTTTCATTAACCGCTATGATGAGGCTCTATCATTGGGCTCGGTTACGCCGAACTGTTGGTTCAGTCTAACTTGTGAAATATTTTATTTTTTTATGGTGGTGCATTCACTGTTTTGAAAACTTAATGAAATGAACGATAATTTCTTTGTGCGGGCACTATAATCTCTCCACCTCTTTTTTAAACTGAAACAGCTATTACCTTGCATTTTCTTATGATACTCTATGATGTAAAACCAAGATTAACGCGTAACGCATACCGTCTGAGGCAGTAACGTGGCGTGAACAATCGATAATCGATATTTCCCCATTTGAAGCTGTAGTAAAGAATCGATTATTAAGGTAATCGTTGCGAACACCCTGTTTATCGATTCTTTTCCATAGGTTTGAATGGCAGATCAATCGATATATCGCAAAGCACATTACGCCACTGGTCTGAGGTGCAAAGCGCTTCGGAGGGTCCGACCAAAGAAGTTAGGAGGCTTAGCTTCCTAGTATCTTTAACTGTCATACTACGTAGGATAAAGAAATAACTTGATGCTAAAGAACCAACCACATATCTGTAGAAAATGTCATCATTCAAACCTCTATTTTTCTTTTAGACCTAATTGCATTTTCTTGGCTCACGTCCGAGGTCAGGATTTTTGTGTTTTTATCTCTAAAATCTTCCGTAGTAAGAAATTACAGAATCATTCTTCGGCTTTGTTCTCAATAAATTTTTACTGGTCGCTTAGCTGAATCTTCTGACGCTAAAGAGATATAACGAAACATAGGTGGGTCGGAAAAGGTGACAATTAGATATTAACATACAAATCAGGTCTTCTACGGAGGAAGAGGATATGAAATTGTAGTTGCGAGGACAGTTGTGGAGATTTTCACAACAAGAAGTAAAATGAATTGTGAATGAAGCCAAGGAACAAGGGATGAAGAAAAAACGACAAGAAGAAGGAGATGAAGAGAAAAAAAATTATTAGAATAATATAAGATGTAGGAATAGAAAATGATTTAAAAAAATTAAAAGAAGGATGGGACAGGAAAAAGCTCTACATACAAAAATGAGAATTAAAAGAAG